AGACAGTGTGTTAGTGCATCTCAGCCTTAGTTTCAGATATTCGTGGATCAGAATTTTTCCTTGTAGAAACTAATATATTTTCATTGGCTTAAGTGAAGCCATGACATTATAGCAGCAGACAAATCCAGTCTTTTGTTTTCCATCACAGCTGACATATTCTTTTAAACATTCTGTCAGTCTCTACACTGAGCAAACCAATGGGATTGTGAAAGCATTTTCCAGAGGAGTTCTGCAGAATGGTGATGATGAGCACCACCTGTTTTGCCTTGGCAATAGAGACACGCATTCTGTTGGAAGAGCTTACCCACAGTTTGTGCAGTCAGAAGAAAGCACTGCGATAATTTACTCTGTCTTTCTGTACATGGAGATCATCAGAAGTTCTGGGCTCAGTTTCTATGTGAACTACAGCTATATATATATATATTTTTAATGAGACCTTCCAGTTGGAATTTAGACCTTCCCAGAACTTTTCAAGTTGTACTGGTTTGTAGCTGGCCCTCCCCATTTATCTGCTTACCTGCTTTTAAATTCATTCTTACTGTGCATATGTTGAATTTTAACTTTCATCTGAGAGCATGAAGACTTTGTTTCTGAAGTCTTATTCCCCGCATGGGTACTTCTAGCTCACAGCCAATTCGCTCCCAAAAGCACCTCTTTGAGAAACTTGTTCTGCAACACTTTGAGCTCCATGAGTCCCCTCTCTCCAGAAGAGAGCAAAAGAGTATTTAATAGAGTCTCCAGGGCAGTTTGGCGAGTGACATCTATAATGAAACCATCTCAGAGAATACAGATGAAGAGCTAGACGGATTCTCTCATTTTTCAGCCTGCTCAACTACTTTCAGACAGTAATAACTAATGGTCACTTGTGGTCCAATGTGAAACCAGAAAAAAAAACTAAAGAAAAAGTGGAGGAGTTCTTGACAATTTTTGAAAGGTAAAAGACCAGCACGGTGCAGAGGTGGGACTGCACAGAGATGGGATGGGTTTGCTGTTGGTCCCTCACCCTTCGAGGAAATCCAGAGCTGGAATCTGTGAAAATCACAAATCTGAAGAGTCCAGACAACCCACAGCTGCTTCTCAGTTGGGAAAGATATTACCTATATTATTCATTAGAACAGGTTGCCCAAGGAGGCTGTGGATGCCCCAACCCTGGAGGCACTCAAGGCCAGGCTGGATGTGGCTCTGGGCAGCCTGGTCTGCTGGTTGGCGACTCTGCACATAGCAGGGGGTTGAAACTGGATGATCATTGTGGTCCTTTTTCAACCCAGGCCATTCTGTGATTTTATGATTCTATGATTCTATCTGTAAGGTATTACAGGTGTAAGTTCCTCCACAATGGAAACGCTCTCCAGGAAAAGGTCCTGGTAGTGTTTATGTGCATGCACCCATAACATTACATTTTGTATTTGATCTTGTAACTACAAAAAAGCTGTTGTACTGCAATTAGTACAGAAAAAAAATAATAATCTGAATGTAATGACAGCATTTTCCATCATTTTGTTTACAAATACAAAATAAGTACAAAATCTATAATTCTAAGCAGGTTTAAGGGAAGATTACTGCATGCTCATGATTTAAAAAAAAAATCGAAAAAGCCTTTTTTTCCTAGATTAAATATAAAATAATAAAGATTACAATGTAATCCTGGCAGCAGATTTTACATCTACATCCAAAGGAGGAGCAGGTTTATTTATTAAAGAAGAGTGCAATGTCTTGAAGTGCAAACCAAAGCTTTTTCTGAACCGTACTGCAGGCTGCACTGTTGTAATCAATACTCCAAACAGACCTATTTTTCTTGGACAAAAAAACATACATATATCTGACATTTGAGGAAGCCAGGTGAATAAATCAATAGCTAAACAAAAATGCACTTAATCATATCTATTGTGGATAGATGCAGTTTGGAAAAAACCTGTATGGCTCATGTATTGCTTTCTGCTTAAAGGTTAGGAATGAAACTCTGTTTCCTAAGTCACGTCCTTCATCAGAAGCATTACTGAAGCCAGAATGATGGCAGCAGCCACTGTGTAATGGCGTCTGGAGCCCCCAGTACAAGAAAGACAGGGAGCTGTTGGAGAGGGTCCAGAGGAGCCACAAAGATGATCAGAGGGCTGGAGCACCTCCCCTATGAAGACAGTCTGAGGAAGCTGGGTTTGTTCAGCCTGGAGAAAAGAAGGCTGCGGGGTGACCTCATTGCAGCCTTTCAGTACCTAAAGGGAGCCTACAAACAGGAGGGGAATCAACTCTTTGAAAGGGTAGATAACAGCAGGACAAGAGGAAATGGTTTTAAGTTGAGGGAGGGGAGATTTAGGTTGGATGTCAGGGGGAAGTTCTTTACGGAGAGAGTGGTGAGGTGCTGGAACAGGCTGCCCAGAGAGGCTGTGGATGCCCCATCCCTGGAGGTGTTCAAGGCCAGGTTGGATGGGGCCCTGGGCAGCCTGGTCTGGTATTAAATGAGGAGGTTGATGGCCCTGCATGTGGCAGGGGGGTTGGAGATTCATGATCCTTGAAGTCCCTTCCAACCTTGGCCATTCTGTGATTCTGTGATATCGCTGGGCAGGTCTTTCCCTACGCCTTCAGGAATGTACTTTACTGGGATATGTAGGAAAGATTCACACATTCATTACAACCTTAAATTGACTGAACTGTTACCCAGAGTCAGGCCAATGTACAATCTGTTTTATCTTTCCTAAATGGCTTTAAGTGATGACTGTTAGAGCACATTTCTTGTGCCATTGCAGGTGATCATTAAACATACATAATAGCCCCATTAAATGATTATGGATAACTCTGGTGTCTTGGCCAAAAAAACTCTATGTCCAAAAGTACATTGGTGCACAGAATACTGCTGAGCTTAAAGGTGGCCCTTTACCTGGCACTGCTTCAATAAGGCCCTTTGAAATAACCACAGTGCCAGGGATGCTTTAGTTTTTATTATATAAAAGTTTTGACTTCTTCTCTGCTTTAGCCCTAAGCAATTCAGCATCAATTGGAGCATCAGGAGCACTGCTTCTTTACAGCTTCAAAGCCCAATTCTAATCTCACATTGGCAGTGCACCTTGAGATTAAACATCTGCCCCCAGCTGGAAGCAGTGGATGCTTTCAGGAGAGCAGTGCAGTGGGAGGCACCAGCCTGACATTGTGATACTGCTCAGTGAGAGGCTGAGCTGAGGGCACACCGAGGTGCCTGACCTGAATACTCTTCCAGGAAACATTCTAAGCTCTAAGAAAGGCACCACACATTGCCACACAGTGAGCGTGGGAGCTGCTTCGTGCCTGCTGTTAACCTGAAGGATGGGCAGATCCCTCCTGAATGACCTTTTCAGTGCAAACTTCTGTCAGGCGTTCTGAAACCACGCAGCCCAGCCAGCGTCACGTATCTTCCAAACGTGTAATCCTGCGAAGAAGAAAATGCAAATAGATGTCTGAGATCTTTTGTTTCCTTCCCGCTGCAGCTCCTGTCTCCTCAGGAGCACAGCAAGATGCTTCTCCTCAGTATGAAAGCAGAGCATGTCTGCAGTGCAGTCACCCTGAACCATGGACGTGCCCAGAGAGGCTGTGGTTGGGTGGGGCCCTGGGCAGCCTGATCTGCTGGGTGCCAACCAGCCCAGGCATGAGGTTGCGGCTGGATGGGGTGCATTCTAAGGGCCCTTCCAACCCAACCCAAACCATTTGGCCCTGGGCACCATGATCTAGTACCAGATCTGAGAGCAGCCTTGAGAGCAGCCCTGGGGAAAAGGACCTGAGGGTCTTGATAAATGAAAAACTTAACATGAGCCGGCAGTGTGGTTTGGAAAGCAAATGGTATCCTGGGCTCCATCAAAAGAGAGGTTGCCAGCAGGGACAGAGAGGTGATTGTTCCCCTCTACTCTGCTCTTGTGAGGCCCCAGCTGGAATACTGCATCCAAGTGTAGAGCCCCCAGTACAAAAAAGACAGGGAGCTGTTGGAGAGGGTCCAGAGGAGGGCCACGAAGATGATCAGGGGACTGGAGCACCTCCCCTATGAAGACAGGCTGAGGGAGCTGGGCTTGTTCAGCCTGGAGAAAAGAAGGCTGCGGAGTGACCTCATTGCAGCATTTCAGTACCTAAAGGGAGCCTACAAACAGGAGGGGAATCAACTCTTTGAAAGGGTAGATAACTGCAGGACAAGGGGTTTTAAGTTGAGGGAGGGGAGATTTAGGTTGGATGTCAGGGGGATGTTCTTTACTATGAGAGTGTTGAGGTGCTGCAACAGGCTGCCCAGAGAGGTTGTGAATGCCCCATCCATGGAGGTGTTCAAGGCCAGGTTGGATGGGGCCCTGGGCAGCCTGGTGTAGCATTAAATGAGGAGGTTGGTGGCCCTGCATGTGGCAGGGGGTTGGAGATCCATGATCCTTGAGGTCCCTTCCAACCCTGGCCATTCTGTGACTCTGTGATCTGGAGGTTGGTGGCTCTGCCTGTAGCACTGGGGTTGGAACTGGATGATCCTTGCGGTCCCTTCCAACCCAAGCTGTTCTATGATTCTCTGGCACAGATGTGGGGGTCCTGCTGGCTCAGACAGCTGAGGCGGGGCTCCTCGGCCGCTTTGCCCTCCCGCTGTCCCCATCCCTTTCCGGGAGGACATTCTGGGAGCTCTCTGTATTTGTTTTGGGCCAATTACTTCAGAGCACGTGTAACAAGCTTCCCTCCCGCTGATACACTCTAATTCCACCTACATTTTTGCATTCTCGCTTCTAATTAACCAACAAACACGACACCACCCGTGTTGGAAGATAGTTTTCTTCTCAACCCCGCAGGCAGAGGAACCCCGCTCGTTTCGTCCGACACGAAGGACGACCGCAGCTTCTCCCCTCAGCGCTCCCACCCAACCGCGGCCCCGCGCCGTGCCGGCCGCTCTCTCCGCTTCCCGCCGCAGCGCCGCGTCCCCCCGGCGGCGGGCAGGCAGCGCCCCCGGCATGCGGCAGAGGGCGCCCCGCGTTCCGCCACGGCGGGGCCGGGAGGAGCCTCCGGCGCGGCGCAGCTCGGCTCGGCCGGGGAAGGAGGGAGTAGGAGGAGGAGGAGGAGGAGGAGGGAGCTGCCACGTCCTCTGCGGAGAGCGGAGCGCCTCAGCCCCACGTGCGGCGGAGCGGGGAAGTTGCCGGCGGCCGCCTCGCGCTCTGCCCCTCTCTCTGTCTCTCTCTCAGGCGAACGCAACTCCGGGTAAGGGCGCGCGGGGCCGCCGTCCCGAGGTGGGGAGAGCCGCTCCGGGAAGAGCCGCGGGGCTCCGTGCGGGCCGACTTCCTGCGGGCTGCGGCTCCCAGCGCTGCTGGCGGAGCGCCGCGGGGAGGAAGCGCAAAGTTTGCAGGCGGCGGTGCGCTGGGGGGGGAGCGGCGGCGGGACGGGACGGGACGGGACTGAGCCGCGGCCCCTCCGGGGATCCACGAGGAGAAGAAGTACTCTTAGAAAGCCCCGCGGCTTCCTCGATCGCCTTCACTTTATTCGCAATTTCAGTTCTCCGGCCGCGGGTGCTGTTGAGTGTGGGAGACGAGCGGGGAGCCGCGTTTGTGCAGCTTGGTGGGGGGGGTGGGGAAGCTCAGAAAAGCTTTTAAAGGTGAGCCGGGTGTTGGGGAGCCGAGATGATCCGTTCTGAACGTGGAAACGCGGCTTCGCTCTGTTTCTTAACGCGGCTCCCGTTTGTTCCGGCGCTGTCCTCGCCGAGCGCTGACAGGGGCGCAGTTCGGAGCTTTTCTTTGGTTCTCTTTTTTTTGTTTTGTTGTTGGGCACCTGGAGAGCAAGTCGTTTTCTTCCCGCGTGTGTTTCTAAAGCGCCCGAGCTTCAAATCTGCTATTAAAACAGGGGGAAAGGAATGTTCAGTGCTATGGAGGTCTCCCTTGCCTGGTCCCCTCCCGATATCCGTGCCAGCCCCTCCCGCCTCCATCTGCAAAGCTCTGTTCTTTTTAGCTGTGTTCAAATTACTTCTTCGTAGTGGAATAAAAGTCTGGTGGGAATTCCCCGTTGCCTTATTAAAAAAAAAAAAAAAAAAAGAAAGAAAGTGGGATGAGTTTCTCATTAGTGCTTTTGTAATAACTTTCTGCTCTCTGTCCTGTAGCGGCCTGTTTATACCTTGCAGAGCCACGAGGCTGAAGTTAGGAGGAAAGCAGGTCTGGGCTGTCCTCAAGCATCACACGTGGAAACCTCAGCCATCTTTCTCAGATAAATGAGCAGCTCGCTCTTGGAGCAGATTGGGCTGCACCCTTCCCTCGTGCTGTGTGGGAAATGTAGAAGCAAGGCTGACCAGCAGTGATGCGGGGTGCTGCTGTCACGTATCCGGGCAGGAGGTTGATCCTAGGTGGTCTTGGAGGTTCTTTCCAACCCAAACCACTCTGTGATTCTGTACTTTTATGACAGGACGTTCTGGGAACCACCTGTTTCTCCAGTGCTTTTTCCAGCACAGGCATGCAGAGGTTTTTGCTCTTCAGTCAGGTTGTAGTGAAGGTGTTGACCCAAAGCAAAAAGTACAGAAGGTTATGGGCAGCACTGATAGATAGAGCTAAAAATGAGCCATTAACAGAGCCGAGCACCTTCAGGTGCTGCCAGAGTGGGTTTGGAAAGCCCTGTTTGCACAGCCCTTAGCACGTGGAACACCCCTCTGTGCTGTGACCAGTGCTCTCAGAGCCATGGGACCAATCCACTGGAGCCATACTTGTCAGTGACTGCATGGCTGCATCTGTTTGGGGAGGAGCAGTCGGGCTTTGAAGCTATCCCAGAGCAGCAGGCTGCAGCACAGCTCGCACTGTGTGAGGTGGCTGTCGGTCACACTTGCAGCTGCACGTTTGGAGGTGTGTACTGTTAACAGGTGAGAGAGTGCACTGTTTCCTCTAGTCACTCCTAGAGCGGTGTGCTAGCAAAATAATCTGATTCTCTTTTTAATCCAATCTAACCATGTTTCTCTGTGCATTAGGCAGTGAAATGCTCCTGTATCTATATACATGCTGATTAGGTGATGTCAGCTGTCTTATGGGATGGTAAATAGGCTGGACAGTAAATCTGGCTGTGGAACTTCTTGTGCGATGTAAGGCAGTTTCCTCCTCTGTTTTTGTTACGTATTTTCCTCCTCCATCATCTTTCTCCCTTCCCTGTTAGCTTTGGAGCCAGCAGGACTTGGCCTGATGGTGTGTGCACTACTTAGAGGCAGTGGTTCAGGGGAACTGAAAAGGGAGAGTTTTCTCCACTAGGAATCACAGCCCTGGTTCAGCAGGGAGCGGTGCTGTCATGAGGACTGTGCTTACAGGAAGATAAGTTCATCTTTTGCTATCAGGATCTGAGAGAACTGAGCACTGATTCTCTCTGCTGAATTGGGCTGTGTTTGCCGTACCCTCACAGCTCATGTCCCATCTGCTCCTGAAGTCTGAGCTCTTTGGGAATTGCCCTGGCATTTCTCGACTCAGCTGGTAGGTCTGCCTGCTCCAGAGCAAAACGATCTGCCTGTTTTCCTGTTAGTCCATCCATCCTGCTCTGCAAGGAGTATCTGGATATGGATGTATATGGATGACTGATGCCCATGCTGCCCCCTAGCAATTCTGCGTTGTGTGCAGATCTGGATTTCTCTGCTTTTTTGACACTTGGCTGCTGCGCTTCAAGAAACGTCTGGCAAGCAGATCTTGGCTGTGGTCTTCTTGAGAGGTCTCTGAGGTGAGTGCTGTGGAGGGCACCAAGCCAACAGCAGGGCATCTTTTACCAGGTGGTGTTTTTATCACGAGGTGATATATCCTGAGGAGCCTCTATGGTTATGATTTCTGTGTTGTTCTCCCCCTTTCTTCAGTTTTTTTTTTAAATTATTGTAGTATCAGCTTTCCCTTAAGTGCTCGTTAAAGCTGAGAAGTTACCTTCCTTTCCGTCCATACGGGAAATAGTTAGGTTGACAGATGTGGGTTCTGTGAGGATTTGCTGAGCTCTTAATCCTGTTTGTGGCTAATAGGCCATGCTAATGTGGAAGGGCATCTCTTTCACTATACAAAGATCTCACCTGCTGCTGCCTTGGGGAGATGTGCTGTTAAAATGCTGTCATTGCCTTAGCAGTAGTGGTGGGCCAGAGCTTGTCATTGTGAACCTCTGCAATGCTGCAGGTCTCCCCTCTATTTTTTTATGTTGGTGAGAGATTTTTTCTTGTTAAGACAAACCCTGCAGGAATTGCTGTAGGCAACAGAGGAAGCAGGCTGGCTGTGGCAAACAGCTGGAGATGGGCTGTTTGTGAGCCCTTTGGGTATTCTGAGGGGATGAGATGTGTGATGTTGTTCCCTTTGTTGCCTTTTGCCCTACCCCTGGTTTAGTCTCAGGGTTTTTCACTCTCCTCTGTCCAGCTTCATTTGATTTCTTTTATGCTGCTTTTGGTTGCAAAGAAGTTAGTTACTTCTTTCTCCTTTAAAATGGGAGTTCTCTGATGTCAGTGTGACTAGAAGTTTCTGATCACTCTGGTCATTAGAAGTCTTGTGGAATTTCATGAAGCACAGGACGCAGAGAATTTAAATTGTTCTGTATGGGAGTTATCATAGAATCACAGAATGGCCTGGGTTGAGAAGGCCCACAGTGATCACCTAGTTTCAACCCCCTGCTATGTGCAGGGTCACCAACCAGCAGACCAGGCTGCCCAGAGCCTCATCCAGCCTGGCCTTGAGTGCCTCCAGGGATGGGGCATCCACAGCCTCCTTGGGCAGCCTGTTGCAGTGCCTCACCACCCTCTGTGTGAAAAACTTCCTCCTAATATCTAACCTAAACCTCCCTTGTCTCAGTTTAAAACCATTCCCACTTGTCCTATCACTATCCACCCTGTAAACAGCCGTTCCCCCTCCTGTTTATGTGCTCCCTTCAAGTACTGGAAGGCCACTGTGACATCTTCCCAGAGCCTTCTCTTCTCCAAGCTAAACAAGCCTAGTTTCCTCAACCTTCATAGGAGTCTTGAAAGCGTAAGCATAATTTTAAATATATTAGTGACTTGACAGAGCCACCTCTCCATCAGCATGCTAGTCGAAACCTAATCTAAATAACTACAATGATGAGTCCTTCCTTGCAGTTTCATGTGAGTGCAGAAGACACCACTGTCCACCCTAATTATTGTATGCTATTTCAGCAGCTGCTGTTGCTGACACTCCTTGAGGCTGAAAGGCTTTTGAGCAAAATACCTGCTTGCCTTCCTTCTTGCTGGTACGCTGCACTGAAAGTATATGCAAGATAGTGACCTGAGTTCCAAACCTCTGGTGGAGGGTGTCAGTGAAACCAGGACTGAGTGTGCAGATGGAAGGCATGGTCAGTGATTTGTGGCACTGAATTGCAATTGCAATGAGAGATTCTTTTTTTTTTTTTTATTTCTGTTTGGTTTCTCTTGAGTAGAGCTAGCTAACAGTACCAAAATACCTTTATTTTCCTTTTTATATCGAGCATTGTCTAGGACAGCTGCAATGGAAGGCTGCTATGACCCTCTGCAACTGGCTTTTAAAAATGGGACAAAACAATATGAAGACTCAGTGTGTCAACCTCGAGGAACTCTTCTTTCCTTTACACAGGTGGTAATGATGTTGCTGGGCTTTTCTCAGTCTGTTCCAGCTGCTGGTGGGCATGAGAGGCCGTAAGGAGACTTTGCCTGCAGGTAGAGTGGGTGGGTTCTGGCTCATGCAGGTGGGCACTGGGTCAGGAGGTGAGCGGCCAGGGCTTGGTGAGTTGGCCAGCTGTGCAGCAGCAGGAATGCTAACGCTCATTACCAGGCTCATCAATGCCTGGGAACCAGGCTAGAACATGAACTCGTGTCTGCTGCCTTCAGCCTTAGTGCCAGCCAGCCTCTTATCTGCTCCCTTTCACTGTTTTTATCTTGTTTGGCTTCTGCATGTTTTGCATTAGACTTTTTCTAATGATCCTTCCCTGGGCAGTCCAGTTTTACGCGTTTTTCTTCCCTTTTTACCCCCAGCTGTTCTTTGTCACTTTGTCTGATTTTTTTCAGTTGTATCATTAGATTTTTTTTTTTTTCTCCTTCTGTGCCTCCCTCCCACAACGTTGTTTACATTTGTTCTTCCTTTACTTTCATCTTCTTATATTTTTTGCCTTTTAACTCTTATCCTTAGAGGAACCCAGCTTTACTTTTGGAGACCAGCCCTTTCTTATTGATTGCCAGCTGCTTTTTTTGAAACTAATTTGCATTCTCTGCTCTTGTTGTGCCAGACAGAGGACCA